GAGTCGGAAAAACTGTTGACGATCACGGAGTTAGCCTGCAAGAAGCCGGAGAAGTCCAGGGGCAAAGCCTAAGCTTCAAAGTTTTGTCAGCAGTATGTAATTGTTGAACCTATCAAACACCTTCCGGAAGTTAAAGTAAAGAACGTCTAATCGAGAACCCCTGTCTAACTTAGCAGATATATACTCTACAAGAATCAGTAAATTTAATACATAATTGATAACTTTTATCAACCATTTCTGTTGTCTGACTGTCGGTCAGAAATTTATAGAAATTACCTTAAGTAAATTTTACTCATCTTATTTATGAAAATCAGAGCTTGCTTTTTCGTACTTTATGCGCTACCATACCATTCGTTAAATAGTCATGAAATATTGCAAGCAATCTTTAAAAAAGAAATGTTTGAGAGGAATGAAAAAATATAAAACATTTTGGAAAAGACCAGTAAAATATGGCAAACCTTTGAATAAGGTTATTAAATTTGTATATCGATTCCAGAACTCATTAAGGAGAATTTCTAAGGGACTCTTTTTACCTTTAAATTTATTTAACTAAAACAGACAATATTAAAAGTCCAGAAGAAAATAGCCATTCCAATTTTAATAAACGATAATAGTTCCCTTCGGTATACTTATTCAAGGTTTTTTTATCAGAAATTCTTTAGTGGATCCTGTCCAATTATGAGACACTTTAATGGAAAGACATATTTAAACTTACAAGTTTCATAGCCATGTTTAATAATTACTGTCTCATTTGTTTTTATCATAGAGGACTTTTTGAAGAGACTTTTTAATTGGAGGAATAGGCGAAGAAAAAAACAATATTTTCATAGTCAACTAGAGTCACAAAACCAAAGCGGTTATGTCGCGGTATTCATATTTTGTGCTATCTATGAATGTAAGACAATGAAACAGAATTAAAAAAGAAAGAAACTTATTATTAAAATCTTCATTAATGAGGCTCATAAGAATTTTCGTATATGTAGGTTTATGTTGTAATGGATGTGTATAATGTACGAGGGGTGATCAATAAGTAATGATAATCAATATGAAACAGAACTATTAGATTAAAAAAAGTATTTTATTTTTCAACATAGTCTCCTTGCAAGTTAATACATTTAGTGTATCTTTTTTCTAAGCCCATGATTCCCTTAGAAAAAAATTCTTTGTCTTGACCCTCCCAAAATGCCTCTACTGCGGCCATCACTTCACTATTGTCCTCAAATTTGTTGCCCCGGAGGTGTTCTTTGAGCCGAGGAAAGAGGTAGAAGTCACTGGGAGCTAGATCTGGCAAATAGGGAGGGTGTTCGAGCAGTTCGAACCCCGTTTCTTCAATGGCAGCCATCGCAACTGCGGCTTTGTGAGCCGGGGCGTTGTCTTGGTGAAACAGCACTCCAGCGCGCAGTTTACCGCGTCTTTTTGACTTAATAGCTTCTCGCAATCTTCTTATTTGGCCTGCGTAGTAAGAGCCTGTTATAGTGGCCCCCTTTTCCAAATATTCCACCATAATAATTCCTTCTGCATCCCAGAAAACAGACGCCATAACCTTTCCCGCTGAACTTGACACTTTGAATTTCTTCGGCGTTGGTGAGGAAGCTCGTTTCCAAGTCATTGATTGTTGTTTGGTTTCGGGATCAAAGTGGTGGATCCAGGTCTCGTCCATGGTCACAAAACGCGACAAAAAAAATTCTTTATCGGCCTGGAACTTTTGAAGATTCACCCTCGAAATGTCGACTCGTTTCTTTTTTTGCTCGTCGGTTAACATTCTCGGTACCCAACGCGCAGAGACCTTTTTCATATGCATTTTGTTGACAATGATTTTTTGAACGCTGCCATAGGAGATCCCTGTGACCTCAGCTACATACCTTACGGTCACCCTTCGATCGGCCAACACGATATCTTCCACTTTTTTGACGTTTTCTCCAGTAAGGGACGTGGAAGGGCGTCCCTCGCGATGTTCATCTTCAGTGGAGGTTCTGCCCAGCTTAAATTCCTTTGCCCAGCGTGCGACTGTGGAATATGGAGGAGCAGACTCCCCCAATGTTTCCTCTAAGTCGCTGTGTATGTCTTTGGTAGACATTTTTTTCAGGCAGAGGTACTTGATGACAGCTGTTATTTCATTTTTCTCCATTTTGATGTTTTCTCTTCGACAGTTCGTATTCAAATGAATGTATCTCCCGGTAATGGTGTCCTATTTATACATTTTTTTGAAGCTGAAGTAGTGGATATATAAGCAAGCAGAAAAAAAAAATTTGGGTTTTTGTGCGTTCTAGAAATACTCGATTATCATAACTTATTGATCACCCCTCGTATGTCACATAGTGAAATACGTACCTTAAAAGTTGGATTGAAACCCCTTTCTTCAATTATTCTCGCACCAAATGATGTCATTTGGAACACACTATTGTAACTTTAAATATTCTGCGAAATTGGTTTGATAGAGTTTTTTTCCCTGAAAGTAATGAATTTTTATTCAGGTGGCTATGTCAGTTTTGGTAAATTGACATTTCCATTCGCAAAACATAATCCTAGCGGTTCGAGACGAAACCTCAAAGCATTGCAATTTTAACAAATAGTGCTCATTGTTCCAAAATCGATTTATCGCCGCGTGATCTCTTGTTGTATTATATCTAAACGCCAAACATTCATAGGTAATTGTTACAAGTACGTCTGATCGTCTGTTTTGTTGCCCCTCGCTTGAAGTCGATAGTATAGGTTCTTCCGGAGTCGTGGTAGATCTCGCTTGAGAAATTCTCATTCTGTTTGCCTTTAAACGCCTAGTTTAACAGCCTATGCTCTTCTTCAGTCTCATAGTCTCGAAGATTGTGAACTCAACTTATTATATTACATAGATATGTTGACGCCTCACTCGTGGGTTTTTTCTATTGATAACAATACAAAATACGACGGTTAACCTCTAAACTCACATCACAACACCGTTTTGCTGTTGCTAAAGAAGTTATAATTGTATATGACTGAGAACCGGTGTCTGGATTGTTTTTGAAAAGAGTGACGTCAGTAAAGCTGACAGAATTCTTAACATTGTTTTGGTGTTCCTTTATAAAATCTGTAATAAATAACAACAACAGTAAATACAATTAAAGATGTATTCCAAGGTTTTGCTAAAGGACGCATTGCTCGTGCATGTATTTATAAGTTGTTAGGTTTAGTGTTGTATTTTCTTGGTGTTTTAGACAATATGATTCTTCAAGTTATTTCTTAATACTAACTATTAAAACTTTAATTATAATCAATTAGAATCTTATTTAAATCAATCAAATTGTTTTTATAAAGTGAGGTAGTTTATATTTGCGCCGATACATATGAATTAATGTCACCATACTGTCAATCTTGACAATAACGTTTTGTCAATATATAGAAGGTCTCTCATAGTCTCATTCACTTACCCACTTTTCAAATCAAATATTTAAAAAAATCTGTTCGTTTTTAATAATTATCTTGTAAACAAACTTTGTCCTGACAATAAGGAACGCACAAAAAAGAATTATCCAATTTATTGCAGTCGTTCAGAAGTAAGAATGATGTTTTAATTATTCGTACGTACAACCTTTCACGTTCATTTTTTACAGTTGATGTAGAAGCGGTCTTACAATAGGTATAATAGGAAAATAAAGGGTAATCAAAATAATCGTTACACCGTTACAACTGCCCTATATTGACTATTACAATGCAGAAATTAGTTCTTAAAATTAAATAAGTCTTAAAATTTATTTTCAAAAATATACTTTTAGCATTTATAATTTAATGCCCGATATTGAACAACTCTTAATAGGTAAAAATATATATATATATATATTATACTGTCGTAACATGTTTAGTATCGTTTAGAAATAATCAATGTCAGCTTTATCGATAATACGTACACCCACACACGCAGTAGCGAATACACAAGTACAATACAAAACACGTTTACACAAGTTTTACTACTTCACAATACGCACTATGTACAGCATGTTACGAGCCACAGTAGAAATTACAGACGTTCTTAATTGCGTCCTTTAACACACAACAAATTGCCTTTTATTAGGGCTCGTTGATTAAACGTACAGCCATTACTGGACCGAACAACCATATCTACTGATATAAGGGAGAGTAAATATAAAATTGGTTTTACTCCTGAAGTTCCATCTATACTAACAATATAAAGCTAAGGAGTTTGATTGTTTGGTTGGTCGAACGCGCTAATCTCACGTACGACTAGTTCGAATTGAATAATTCTTTTAGTATTGGATAGCCCAATTTTCGAGAAAGGCTACGCTACGACTAATAGGAATTGAGAATGAATGGAAAAAGTTGCAAAAAAAACGGGAGAAATTTGGGTCAGCTAGTATATATAAATCCGAATAAAAGATTGCTTGTTTTAACAAGTCCAAAATGTTAAATATACGTTATCAAGATTACAGAAAAGACCATAGGCAAGAACCTAAGAAGCCTACCTAAAAATATTGAACAATCTACAGTAATGCTAATATAGCTTCAAATTTAACATTAAAATCTATAGTTCGTCAGTGTTAAGAAAATAGAGACGATCCGCTACTATTAGGTCACTATTTTCTTAGCGCGAATGGACTATAGTTTAAACTTAAGGAAGGTTAAATAAAGGTTTAATGTTGAAGCTTTTTGTATAATATTTTCTACAAAGAAAAACCTACAGTAACACGACAGTGAGGTTTTAAATAAAACCGTAGTCTGCTCAAGTAAACCTTGCAGCAAAATGTAAATTTATTCAGTTTTCCTAATTATTCTATGAATGTACATTCTAGGGCAAAATTATGATTTAGCACATCCCTTTATAGAGATGAAATTTTTCGTGTCTTCTAACGAAGTAAGTTTATGTGGAGAGGTTTAAGGGTAATCACCGTCAACAAACTGTAACGTACTTCTATTCTGCACTAATCTCCTTGAACAAAAGAATCTCAATCTCAACCTTATTGTAATTTAAATGCCATAAACCACTTTTACATTAAGTCTTTCATCATCAGGTTGCTGTTGCCATAGAAGAAAGGCGCTGGTGGTATCCCAGAGCTGCTCTCCAATTGCGAGTCCTAGCGCCACCAGATTCTACCATGTGCCTTTTCGGAGCCCGCGCACCACCTGATGCACGTTTTGACCCTCATCAAACGTAAGATTGCCTTTTATTTACAATCCTTTGTATTCAGTGGGTTTGGTTTTACAAATGTATAAGTATACTTACAATAACTATGACGTTAATTGTAATTTTACATTCTTGACCAGTTTATTACGTAGATTACATTTGCTGGATGACTCAAATTAAGCTACATTTTTTATTATTATTATTAAAGACAACTCTCACACTAGGAATGTTCCTATGTTGTGGAGGATTTTACAGACATACTTGAAACGGGCACAAAGAACACCTACACTCAGAACAACAATTTGTGGATCACACCAAGTATTGTCCCATGTGAGGATCGCACCCACAACATCATCAATCTACATATATAATATATAATCAGACTGCAAGACTTGTTTTTCATCTAGTTTCGACTTCTTTACCTTTTTCTTCTTTATTGTGATTGGTTTCTTTTTCTTTTATAAATCTTCTATCTTTTTATTGTTACAGATAAGTATTTTAACTTTCAGAGTGGAACAGAATTATGATTGAAGATTTCAAAATTAGATTCATTATATTAGCATCAATATGAAAGTTTCAGAACTAAACTTAACCCTTTAATGCTAAATACTAAAATGAAATTCGTTTATAAAAGCGACATATGGCCTTGGGCAATTTCCTCTCACTGTAATATAAAATGATTTGTTGGCAGAAAGACACTTAACTGTTTATAATTGAGTAGCATTCCAGTATTCGCCAGTTCATCAAAATTCAGAGTCCATTTAATTTATTTTACAAGAAATCAAAGACTACCTTTCTTTTATTCAATTTAATAACTTAATTAAAATATTTAATACAGCTTATTAATTAATTTCTGTTTAGATAGGTAATATAAAAGTTTATTTTCATAATAATAAACCTAATTTTTCCCTAAACAAATTACAAAGCAATATCATTAGTCTAATTATGGTTTTCAGCTTTAGTAATTATATTTGGCGCAACTACGAGTACTCGACTAAATTTATTTTATGTAATCAAAAACACTCAACTGTAATTAAGTTAATGGGAGTTTTTAGGTAATAAATTACTACACATTTTAGTTTTCACATCACACCGTTAGAACTGCATAATTAATTTGAACTTAGTTAATTGAAAATGGTTTAATTGTGTTGCCAGCACAACGAACATTTCTGAGGTTAAAATTAAGCTGAACAACAGTTTAGTTTTTCAATCCTCTCATTAGTCTCGCTTTTAATTTTAAATAACTTATACTACCATAATATCTGTGTTGCAATACTTAACAGACGGTCTTAACGATAGTTAGAATAACATTAATTGGAGATATTTCAGACACGGCCTTGTAATCTTATACTAGACAGAACAATTTTTTTTCCTGTGCGGAACTACTCTCGAATACCACCCACCACTGGGCCAAAAACCACACGCCGTCTCCAGGTACCAGTAGCCGGGGAACCAGGTATACCCTAGAAAGGAAAGCTATGGTACCCCGACGTACCTCGGGCCATCTACGGCTTATAGATGACCCTTCCTGTGTGGGAACCCTGTGTAGGTAGCGCGTCGCGCCATTACCCACCCCGGTCTGCTTCTGCTAGAGTGACAGATAGACAGGGCGGTACCTGGCCCGTTGTCGGGCCTGGCGAGCCGGATCTGAACCTCTCCCGGTTTCGCTCCGCCATCTCCTTCGCAAGCATAACCTGCTCGCAGAAGGACCACGCACTCTCACTCCGCACCATGGCCGCAATCACGTTACCGAGCGACTTGATAGAACCCTACAGAAATAAAACTGCCGATAAACATACTTTCATCTTACAAAATATATAGCAAATAAATATTTCACTTAGACATGGAATGAATGATCCAAGGTCATTACAGAATCATTTGTCCCAGGTAGGAATCGGATTCGACCTTTTAATTACCATACTAATTCAGATCAGATTGAAAAGTATGTTATATTCTAAAATGGTCACAAGAATGACATTTGCATTCTGGGGATTCTGCAACGAAATTAAAAAAAGGATCTTGGAAATGAGACGAAATGTGTCTACCTACCCTCTAAATGTCTGTGCATCTTTCATTCCTTCTCACACATTAGTAATAAAATGCTGTGAGGAAACTTGTAATTTTCCTGGTGTATGCTATCGACAGCTGTAGTGATGCGAATACGAACCTCGTTATTGCTTGGAGATTGAATAACACTTGCACAGCTATAATAACCGAACTTGGGTACGAGTCAGAAGATGAGACGTATTTTGCGTTGCTATTTTTTGTTATTATTGTAATTTCAGTTAAATATAAAGTATGGCTTACCATTATTTCTACTTTATTATTTAATTTATCCTTTAACAATGTTCTGTCTATAACTTTTAACCACTTATTTATAAAGTTCATTGCTAAAAGTATTGCCAAAACCACGAAGAGTTAGGTATAATAACCGCTTTAGATAAGTACAAATCAGTGCTAACTAGTCACTCAGAATTATCTAAAATACAAAGCAATTAATAACCTAATTAAACGAAAATCGTATACAAACTGAACAAGATAAGTTAAATAACGTTGTAACTTTAAATTTCTTACAAAATGGTTTAAAAAAGGTCTTAATTTTAAGCTCGTTAGCTGTACATATTGAAATCTGAATCATTTTGTAATTATTATGTGTATCATATGAACTTTAACATGAAGGAATACTGTGATAGCATGACTGGCTCTGTAAAACAGTTTAGGGAAGGCAATAAGGCACTAAAGTATAAAAAGAGACAATAAGTTGTATTTACAGTAGTAACTATTATCTTTAGATGGATGCCTAAGCTAGATATTGCCGGCTGCTTCACTCTCGTCATTATTTCGAATTTCTGATTTTGACAAGTTGGCAAATTTCAAGTATGTATCCTGAGCCGTTTAGTCAGTAATCAGTTAGTCAGGGAAAGTTATTTTATATGTATATAGATATATTTTATATTATATTTTTTTATTATAAATTTAGATTAGATTATATTTTTTCATTATATACATATATTTCATGCCAGCTAGTGCCCGCGACTTTATTCGCGGAAAATTTGAAAAGCGCTGCCTTAATGGGTTCGATTTCCGGACCTGGCAGAATTTTATTGGGTTTTTCTGCGAGAAAAAATAGCCTAAGCTACCTGGTAGTAAAATATTATTAAAATCGGTAAAGCCTATACTGGTTTTATAAAAAAACCTATTATTTTGGCACAAACAGACACTTCAATTTTATTAATTTGTATAGATATAGATGTTGTCGTATCTCTGATACAAATACACACACACATATTGACGGATGGATGACGCCAGGTGGCGCTGTTCAAGTGACATTACTATTTACGAGCTCCTATGTATTTTATTTGTTTAAAAATGCCTAAAGCTATTGTAAAGGTGTAATTTTGTGACTGATTCGTGGACAATGAACCAATAAGGTAGTAAAAGTGTTTTGTGAGCATGAACTAACTGCATAGTGATAAATCAATCATTAACTTTTAAACTGTGACAATACTATCTATAACAGTGCAAAAAAAAGCAGTGAAACTGTGAAATAAACAAACAATGAGTTACCTCTAGGGCTAATGGAACGTTTTCAATATCTAACTTAACAAAACAATAAATATCTAGTTAAAATATTAAAATAGAAAAGTGAAGATCGTTATAAAAATAATTTCAAATTGTGCAATCACATACACAAAGTAGTTCAACCACGCCACCTATAATTCATAACAAGCAACTTAGACACTTAGAACATTAATATCGATAAAGCAGAACAACCTTCACAGATTATTAAACCATCCTTATACCAATATATTTTATCAATCCGTAAGCACCGTCCTAAATACCGATAAACATTGAAAACAGTGACATCTATGGCTGCACTATTATTGGTAGATCAATACAAGTTACCAACATAGCTGATCCATTTTATGACATTTCTGCTACTTATTAAAGAGGGCACCACAGGCGTAAGACGAATACGACAACCAATTTCGTAATTAAACGTAATGATCCAGTGGCCTCGGGGTGAATCCTACACATTTATTATACGAGTTCATATCGGTAGAGGGTTCGGATCTTCCCTAGTTCATCGGAGATTTTTGGATTCTATAAATTAATGTTCAAGTTCAGAAAAGTAAAGAAAGTGCTTAAATTTTGAATTTTACAGTATAATATAAAAACCAACTATATATATATTTTAAAATGAACCTCCTAGACAATATTACTTACCGACCACGTCGTAAGCGCGTTCTGTCGGAATCAGACACCGACGATATAAGGGAAATGTCAACAACAATTAACACCTTGAACGACGAGACCTCAACTAGCTTACCCGATATGTCAAGTACTAACTGTGACGACGCACAGCAAGAAGTTCTAATATTGAAGGAGCAAATAGATAATTACAACAGGAACTACTTAGCGCACATGCAGAGATAGAATCTCTGACTTTACAAAACATACACTTAACACAAAGAAATGAAGAGATAACAAAAAAAACAGAGCTTTACAAAAACATTGCACACAGTCCAGCAAAGAGGAAACAACCACAGACCCCGAAAAAACTGGCACTAACCAATAAACAAACTCAAACAGACAACATAAACAACGAACCCAACACTAAAACAAAAATTGGAAGTAAACGCGTCTCAAATAAAACGATAAAGGGACCAATTATAGAGGGTAAATCATCATCTATGCCAGTTCCCCAAAATAACTTATCGATTGAAAATACAAACCCAACACGGAGAATCTGTATACTGAGTTCGAATAATACTAACAAAATACTTACAATTGCTGAAAATACCTTGAATATGAACACTCAAATGTGTCACTATCTAAAAACTCAATGCAGCGTTCAAGAACTCATCAAAGGAATCGAAAATAAACTGCAAGACTTCACATTGGATGACTTCTGTATCATTTTAATTGGTGAAACAGATTTCAATACGACTAAGGACTTTAGTAATCTGATACTAGCTATAAGAGAATCTTTAGAAAATATACAACACACAAATGTTATTATATGT